ACAGCTCCCTTTGTGATCCTAGATTTAATATTGATCTTCCCACTTTTTTTTTATTTTTGGAGGGGCTTTGGAGATAGGATAGGTGGAGAGATAATCCCACAACGCGAGTGGCAAATCTCTGTAAGTAAGTAGGTCCCAATTAAACCCGAGCTGCTTTCTGGCCCACCCAGTTCACACCGAGTACTATAATCAGAGGTAAATTAATGAACATTATAATTAATAAAAGGCCGGCTTTGTAACCACTATGCTAATGAAGTTAAATGAGTATGTTGTGAAATGTTCACTAATTCTGCACATTGCAGATCTTAATTCTGCACAGCACTAAAGGCCTTTACCGGCCATAATGAGTTATCCTGTCTGCTAATTAATTGACAGCCTCCTGAATATTCATATCGAAGGCCGGTATGTTCCTAATTGCGTTGCAGAATGTATCTCCGAGGAAGGTAAATCGCCCTAGACTTAATTAATATAATGTATTCCAGATATATCAGGCTGAAGGTGAGACATTTACCGTCATGTACTGAGAGTGTGACACATTTGGACAAGGCTATAAGCTGGCGTGTTTTGCTTTTAACGGGAAGCCCCTATCCATTGGAATTTAGTTTCATTTCGCGCCTTCAATTTGCCGCGTCTGATTTAAAGCCTTCCCCTCCTTTCTTTTTACGCACTCGATACATATGCGTTAATTTACATCGCCGGTGTATTTAGCCAAATGTTTACATTAATTACCGCCCGCGGCTTCTACTTGTTTACCCAGTGACTGTTAAGATTCCGCACGGTGCTGTAGCTCCTATCCAGAACTGCCGTTTCTCGCCCCTCTCCCGCACGCTACAGTCATTCCACATCACCCCCACTCCCTCGCCTGTCCATCCCTGTCACCAGCGCACATTCCCCCACACCCCAATAATTTGCCCCACCTCAGGACAGAGAGTGCTGCCATCCATACCCAGCTATACAAACACTGGGGCAGGTCCTGCTCCAAACTTCTCTGCAATATTCTGAAGGGAACTGTGATGGCAGACGGAGCTGACTCCTCAGACAGCACCTTCCAAACCCAGGACCCACTTGCATCTGGAAGGAGAAGGGCAGTTCATACATGGGCAACAAAAAAAAACAGAAGTTGCTGAAAAAGCTCGGCAGGTCTGGCAGCATCTGTGGAGAGAAATCAGAGTTAACGTGTCGGGTCCAGTGATCCTTCCTCAGAGATATGGGAACACCACGTTTCCCTCCAAGCTGCTCACCATCCTCATTCGGAAATATATCGCCGTTCCTTCACTGTCGCTGGGTCGAAATCCTGAAATTCCCTCCCTAAAGGCATTGTAGGCCTACCTACAGCAGGTGGGGGCATAGGTTTAAGGTGGGAGAGGAAAGATTTAAACGGGACCTGAGGGGCAATATTTTCACACAGAGGGTGGTGCGTGTATGGAATGAGCTGCCAGAGGAAGTGGTGGAGGCTGGTACAGTTATAGCATTTGAAAGGCATCTGGATGGGAAGGGGTTAGAGGGATATGGGCCAAATGCTGGCAAATGGGACTAGATTAATTTAGAATTTCTGGTTGGCATGGATATGTTGGGCCGAAGGGTCTGTTTCTGTGCTGTATATCTCTATGACTGTAGCGGTTCGAGAAGGCAGCTCGCCCACACCTTCTCAAGGGGCAACTAGGGACGGGGAATAAACGCTGGCCCAGCCAACGATGTCCATATCCCCTGAATAAATACAAATAGTTTCTGGAGTACAGGTGTATTAGTGGTCCGTGCCGATAGTATGTTTGCAGACACAGCGGGACACATTCCCCCCCCCCAACACCCCACGCCTCTTGTCTTTGATAAAATCCCAACCAGCAGGTACTCCCTATCTCCAGTCGACCCAGGAGGAGGTGAAAAACAGAAAGAGGGGACGAAGAGGCAGAATATTGCGGGGTTCAGGCAGAGGGCTCGCCTTTCTCTACCCTGCTGTGTGGACGGCATTCAGAGACAGGGGAACATTTTCGCACCGTCAAATGAGCGGCAACAGGAAAAAGATCTTGTTTCTGTTGAGTGCCAGTGGGAGTTGCGATGTGTGTGTGGAGGGGTGGGGGGGGGAATGGGTGGGAGGAGGGTGTAGCAGAGGAGATGGAAAGCAAATAGAATAAATTGAATTCCGACGGACAATATTGTATGATATGAACTCAGCTCTGACAATGTGGTCCCACACGATCAGATCTACCTATTGGATAGAATTGCCCCCGAAGCTTCTCCCCCCTCTCGCTTTTGTTGCCTCGGTGTCTGGCAATTGAGGGGCGACGTGTGAAAATGGCTGTTTGATTCGGGTTCTCATCTCGCTGACCCTTAATCATTGTTTGCCGTCACCCAGGCGATATTCCGCTTGAGTACCTCACAGAGGGAGAGCTCAGAAAGTGGCTTCGTTATTCAATACGAGACAACACAACGAATTGTTCGCAGCACCCCCTCGGTGCACGATACTTCAAATCGCAATCTCGGTTCAGAAGTGCAATGTAATTTAGTTTAGAGAACTTTTGTCCTTCATTGTATGAATGAGCCGAGAGAGGCAGACACCAACTTGATTCGCCGTTGGCTGAGACCAGAGGAGCGGCGTGAATTCCTGTTAAGAGTTTCAGTTACTGGCTCCCCGGCCCACAAATACTCCCGCAAGTCCCTTGAAGTCACACTTAGAAAATAAATATTTCCCGAGTGTTGCTTGTGGCGCGTCTTATTTTATCAAGGCGCCTGAGCAGAGAAGGGATATTTTGATTTAATTTATCCACACCCCTGTGACATTAGGTGGGAACACTGGGTTACAAAAGCCCCCAAAATTTAAATACCTTAGATTTCTCCAGCTCTCGAGAGCGGTTACAATTGAAAGCTAACCGTCCTGGCTATCAATGAAAGCAGATTTTTTTTTAAAAAAAGCGATAGAGTTTGAAAACAGGCACACGGTAAAATAAAAGAAGCAAAACAGGAATCCTTGGCTAGGACGGCAAAAACAAAAATAATGTATAAATTCCAGGCCGGGATATTTTCTTTCAATCCATGCGTGGGTTCAGAGTAAAATTGAGTTGTTACACTGGGATAGGGAATATCTTTTTTTCCCATCACAGGCTTTGTGCCGGTGCTAGAGAGAGGGAGGAGGGTTGTATCTGAACTGGGTCGTTCCTCTCTCTCTCCTCACTTTGCCAGTTTTTGTTGCTTTTCTTATGTTTTGCTCGCGTCTTGTGTTTGTTCACCTTCCTCTCCAAAGGGAAAAAAAGAAAGCTGAAAATGAACAACACCTGGGTTATTAACAGACGCGATCAAAACCAATATTGAGTTTGTCATTTTCCCGCCCGGTTCGGGAAATGGGAAGAGACCAAGAGTCTGGATTTATCGAAGAGAAATTAGCATAAATTATGACTAAGTTGGGAGGTGTGTGTGTGGTCTTGCTTGTAGCTAGGGGAGCTGAAGACAAGTCCTCAATGAAGAAGGGAGAAAGCGGGCCACTCGGCAAGCCTCAGATCTAAACGGTTATTTAAAACGGCGGAGCTTTGCAATTGTGTTCAGTCGCTTCTCCACATCATTGACTCCTGTGTGTTTGATGCAATTGAGCCGCTCGCTTCTGTCACTTTACCAGCAAATACTCGGGGAAGTCTAGCCTCTGCATCAAGCACATTTTTTAATTAAAAAGAAAAGTTTTTTTTCTCTCTCTCTGTCCACCTATTTTCACTTCGTTTTTTTTTCCCTGAGTGCGTGTGCCTCTAGACATTGATTCAAGAGGTTTGATTAATACCGAGAAACGTGCGCCAGCATTTCAAACCAAACCATTGGCATTTTCATATTAACGACCTTATTTAATCTCTGGAAATAACCGTGTTTAAGATACGATTTGGCGACTTACTGAATTTGCACTGACCCCACTTTTTATTAGACAGAGAGAGAGGGAGAGAGAGACTGTTTTTAGAACGCGACAAGAGACTGGAATTGAGTTTAAAAATGAAAACGCTTGCCTGCATTTGGTAAAATCATTCCGAGTTTTGTTTTTAAATTTGGGTGGCGGGGTTAATCTCCCTGTCACATACTATCCTCCCCCATCGCGAATTTCCTCTTCTGTTCTCGCTCACCTGCCTCATGAACACACATACACACACATTAAAACACCGGATTATTTTGAACGGATTTATTCTAAAACTGCAGTCTGCTAAGGACAACCGCTCCAAGTCATTATCTCTGAGTCTCCACACACCTTTCCATTGCTAACATTTTAAAAAAGAAACGGATTTGCTCACCTCAGGTTGTAACACGGGGGGTGGAGGTTACAACGTAAGTTGCTCAGGCTTTCTTAAATCCTGCTCCCCTCCCTCTGCACGACTTTGATTCACACTTTAAACAACACCCCCCCCCCCCCCCCACCCCCGCTTCCTCCACCCCTCCCCAAATGCATTGGGGATTGGCAGGATTCCCATTGGCTGTATTCTTGGATGTAAATAAGTGTCAATGAAAAGCAGAAAGCTGCTATTTCTCCTCTCTCTCTGTTTCCCACTCCCTCCCTCCCTAAAAAAAACCCCAACGCAGTCAGTCATGTGACAATCCAATGTGCTACATTAGACCCAGAGACTGCCCAACACATGTTAGTACATAGAGACAAAAAAAAGCGCAAGAAGGCAACGTCTTCAGGCTCTGGAGGCAGAGAGGGGGAAAAATATTGATGAATTCCATTGAAAAGGAAGAGGAGGAGAACATCTCGTATTCTGCTGTCTTGTGCGTGCAGGAGACTTTGTATTTACTTTTTTTGGAGACAGTGACCTGGGCTCTCGTTTGAGTTTGGACGGATCAGTGAATAGCATTTTTTATTTTTTTTTGTGTATCGTGTGTGTGTGAGGAGAGAGAAGTTTATAATTTTAAAATGCCGAAGTTTTAACGGTTTTTTAAAATTCTGCCTGTGTGTTGCCCGTTGTCACACACACACACACACACACAGTGCCTCTCCCTCTCTCTATCGCTAACTCTGGGAGTTCGATGCGGTCACGATGCCTCGCCCAGGCCGGAACACTTACAGCGACCAGAAACCACCCTACTCCTACATCTCGCTGACGGCTATGGCTATCCAGAGCTCCCCGGAGAAGATGTTACCACTCAGCGAGATCTACAAGTTTATCATGGACCGCTTCCCTTATTACCGGGAGAACACCCAGAGATGGCAAAACTCTCTGCGCCACAACCTCTCCTTCAACGACTGCTTCATTAAGATCCCCCGGAGGCCCGACCAACCGGGCAAAGGCAGTTTCTGGGCCTTGCACCCGAACTGTGGCGACATGTTCGAGAACGGCAGTTTCCTAAGGCGCCGCAAACGCTTCAAGGTTCTGAAGGCGGACCATTTGGCTGTGGGTAAGCAACCAGACGCTGCTCACTACCTCCAGCATCAAGCCAAGCTCCGGCTCAGCGCCTTGGCCGTCTCCGCCAGTCCCCTGGCCCAACTACCCGCGTACGGCATGGCAGGATCCCAGGGCAGCAGCTTCAAGCACCCATTCGCCATCGAGAACATTATCGCCCGGGAATACAAGAACGTGATGGCCAGCGGTCTGGCGTTCTCCGCCGTCCAGCCTCTGACCCCCGGTTACCCCATGCCCCTCACCTCGGTAGGGGGAAGCCTAGGCACCGGTTGGCACCATATGTACAGCGCCAGTGTGATGGACACAGCCGCCCCTGCGCCCCCACCTCCTCCCCCTCCACCACCCCCACCACCTCCCCCTCACCCCCCTCTCTCTGTCCCCGGGGGATCCGCCGATTATAGCCCCTACGGCGTGCCCCTCAAGCCCATGCCTCACGTCGGTCAGACCCTGCCGGCTATCCCGGTGCCCATCAAAGCCAGCCCGGGAGCCGTGAACGCTCTGTCCGGTCCCATCTCGGCTCTCCTGTCCGGGGGCACGGTGGCGGCGGCTCTCAGCCCCGGATCCCCGCAGCTAAGCAGCGGCCATCGGAGCCCGAGCCCCGGGGAGGCACTCAGCGGCCCTGGGGCGGCTCTGCAGTCGGTGGCCGTGCACTGACACGCGGGGTGGGGGGGGGGGGGTGAAGAGGAGCGGGGGCGGAGTAAGGAGGCGGTGGTAGGGTGGAGGGGAGGGAGTTCGTGAGTGGAATAGTGGAGAGGTCTTGGAGGAGGTAGAGGAGTGCGGAGGTAATGGAGCAGGTAGGGAAGTGGAGAGGTGATGGAGTGAGGAGGTAGTGGAGGAGGTGGGGGAGTGGAGAGGTGATGGAGTGAGGAGGTAGTGGAGGAGGTGGGGAGTGGAGAGGTAATGGAGGAGGTGGGGAATGGAGAGGTAATGGAGTGAGGGGGTAATGGAGGAGATAGGAGAGGTAATGGAGTGAGGAGGTAATGGAGGAGGTGGGGAGTGGAGAGGTAATGGAGGGAGGAGGTAGGGGAGTGGAGAGGTAATGGAGGGAGGAGGTAGGGGAGTGGAGAGGTAATGGCGTGAGGAGGTAATGGAGGAGGTAGGGGAGTGGAGAGGTAATGGAGGAGGTAGGGGAGTGGGGAGGTAGTGGAGGGAGAGAGAGAGACACACACACACAGAATGCCAGAGACCACCCTCCCATTCCCCCCCAAAAAAAATCCGCTCCAAAATCGACTGACGGCGCTACAGTAATGCAGCTAGCCCACACGCTTCCTTTTGAGACTCGGCCCGCTGTCTGCGCCTCTCTCTGGACAATCGGCAAAGGCGAGATCGTGTGCTCCCGGACGGTGGGAAAAGTCAACCGAGTTTGTGAATAAGACAATAATGCACTTTTATGATCATTCCACACCAACCCCCCGCCCCCCTACCCCACTCACCCACCCCCACCCCACCCACCCACCCCACACACACACACACACACACACACACACACACATTCGCTTCTAAAACCGCAACACCGCCGATCATTTCCTGTCGTGTGTTTCCCGAGCGTGTTGTGAAGACTTTGTTGACTTTCGGTTAATGTTACAGCAGCATGCTGTGTGTAAAACGAAAAAAAAATTATAATTTGCCACATTGCATGTTCTACATGGGACAAACAAAACAAAACAAAACAAACAAAAAAACTGTCTGCTTTAAATTATGGACAACTTTATCTAAAAATATTTTCTCAATTAAAAAGAAATCCTAAAGTATCAGTAACCAGCCCCCTCCTGTGTGTTCCTGTAAAAACTACCGGCTTTTGGTGGAAGGGGGACGCCGCGTTATCCCGCTGCACGACAAAAAGTTTCAAACTGCTATTTTGAACACGGTTTGGGAGGATTAAGACCAGGCGAATCGCTCGCTGAAGTGAGAAGGGCGGTTGCGGTGCACAACAGAAGCGGCGGCGAAATTGCACATTTTCACAGAAATCGAGTGTTTGCTTGTTTCGCCTCGGGGCTTATTTCCATTTCGGTTTTAATGTGAAGCCAGCACGGATTCTGATTTGTCATGTACACACACACACACGCACACACACACACGTTGTTCTCTTCAGGGACAGGACCAGGTGGACTTCGGAAAAATTTCGCTTTCTTGCCTCTGGCTTTGACTCAGTATTGAATTCCGTCACTGGGGCTTGAATTGAGGCGCGTCAAATCTGCTTTGATAACTCTCCCCGACCCCAAACTGGGACAGAACGGGCAACCCTCAGCCAGAATCGGGCGTCAGGTTCGGTCCTGGTGTCGGTTTGAATGGGTTTGTGATAAATCGAGGGTCTCTCTCGCTCTGCAATCAGATATTTCAAGTTGTTCGTTCAGAAATGGTCCAGTGACTGCAGAGCGACGATTTGTTTGAGAGGAAAATCTTGCGATTAAACTCGCTTTCCCGGGCTAGCAGCTCAACTGGACCCTGTGTGTGGGGTGGGAAGCATAGAGAGAGGGGGGAGGGGGTTGTTTTATTGTTTATCATGGCAGATAATGAACCCACATCTAAGGCCTGTGTGTGAGCTCTTATTGATAGGATCCCACACACCAACAAGGGACGAGGAGAAAGAGCGAGAGCTGATCAAGTTCCTCTCAACAAGAGACTGTTTAAAATGCAGGGAATTGCCTGCCCGTCTCTCTCACACACAAACAGTCACACACACACAAATACACACACACCCACACACAAACACAAATAAATACACACACAGACAAACAAACATAAATACACACAAACACACATAAATACACACAGTCACATTCTAACAAACACACACAGGCACACTGAAACAAATATACAGACAAAAACATAGACAGACACTCAAACACACAGACACGCACACAAATACACACAGTCACACTCACGCACACATAGACACACCCAAACAAACATAGACGCAGATCCACCCAAACACACGCACAGTCACACACATAAATACACACAATCACACTCAAACACACAGACACATTCAAACAAACTTACACACAGACACGCATAAATACGCATGTACACACACGCACGCACACACATGTAAAAAATACACAGAACACACACAGGTACACACAACGGGACAATCGAGTGCATTTATTGCGCTGTAACAATTATATCAACCTGCTCAAGACTAGCCACTATTTAAAAGTCCATCCTTATCTAGCCTCTCACGGGAGGGGTAAGCCTGCGGGAGCGAGAGGAAGAATCTCAGGCTCACACTGCAGATCGTTTTGAGCGACTCCATGCCCCCCATCCCACCCCAACTCTCACTCCCAAGCCACAGGACGGTGCTTTATGATTGGTGTGTGGGTGGGGAGGGTGGGGGTTGCTGTTGAGATAGGTTTACTTCCTCCTCCGTGAGAAATAAAAGAAACGTCGACAAATTATCTAATTAGGGTGGCGCAGTTACAATTTCAGAGAAAGGGGTGGGAGTGATGTCCCGTAGGCCGCTGATAATAACCCCGTCAATGTCCAGTCGCCTCATATTAGCTCAGTCATTTCATAACCTCCAGGTGTGAAACCCAACACACCAGGTCAGATCAAATCAGATCTCCCTGGATGGCCGAAATGGTTTTGCTGTTGGAGAGTGTATGCTGGCGAGTGATCGCTGGCTTTAAGACCAGCCGAAACAACTGAATTCCAGTGAACAAATGCAACAGCAGCTCTGTCAGTTCACACAACTGAGTAGATCAAATATAGGATCCCGGTAACTTCATTCAGCCTCATTCACTTCCAACAGAAACCCCAAAGAATGAACATTTTTACACTGGGCCACCGGTGTAGATTTAGCCTTTTTTTAGACTAGACAAAACCCTGGATTTTCACAAACACATTTCTGAGCTCGATACTAGGAGACGCCGCTCAGAACTCGCGAGGAATTTCAATTCATCTTAACCCTTTCATTCGACCACAGCCTCGCACAGGGCGCCTACAGCACAGAGGTTCAAAACTATACAATCCCGGGCCCGAGACAAAAACACACAAGTTTTTTTTTGTAAAAAGCGCAGTGCCTGTCAGCTGAATAGACAGTGTAACACTGAGGTCAGGCAGAAAGAGTGCTTCGGAGCAACATTCCGCTGATTAAATCCACACAACAATTCGGAATAGCGGCCGTCGGATTTAACTAAACCGTTTTAAATTGCCTTCCGAGGGAAATTACAGACTCCAAGTAAATGTAAACATTTCACACACGTCAGTGCACTTAAACACCGAGCCGTGAGTTCGTACAGTGGATTTGAACTCGCAAATTGTACTGATATATTGGTAATGAATTTCTGCATCCGCGTGAATTCACACAGCGAATATACACGCTCGGGAGTCAGTGTTCACTGTCAATGTACACACTCGGAGTGAATTTACACACTGGGAGTTAATGTACACACTCGGAGTGAACGTACACACCCGGAATTAATGTACACACTGACAATTTCAGGATCTCCCAGTAACAATATATACAGGACAGAACATCGACCTCCTGCTGTCGAATGTTTGTTACACAAAGACTGAGTTTAAGACAATTTGCCCTTCACCACAGACAGACATACACACACACACGCACACATAGGCATAGACACACACTTACAGACGCGCACACACATACAAGCACACTCAAAGGCGCAGACGCACACACTTACAGACACACACAAAGACACATACAGAATCATAACCACACACAGAGACACACGGACACATACACACACTCGCAAACACACACAGCTGCACGCACTCACACAGACACACACTAACGACACATATACAGACACCACACAGACACACAAACACAGAGACACGCACACACATGTAGAGACACGTACAGACAAAAACAGACACACATAGAGATACAGACACTCACAAACAGAAACACATACAGACGCAAACAGACACACACACACAGAGACACAGACACACACATTTATACACACACATACCAGTCCTGCACCGTTAGTTAAATATACCTAACCGCGTCATTCTGAAGTGCGGGACTAAATATTTATCAAATAGTTGTGTTTCTCCCCGTCTCTCCTGAATAGGGCGAGTTTAGACTTTGCATATTAATAGGGCCTAACAGCTCACGGGTCGGCTCGGATCAACTTCCAGACTTGTGAATAAATGTTTATTTTTGCAATTGAATACAGACATAAGTTCTTAACAAATAAAAGGAGAGTGATTGGCCCGGTCAGCTCAGCGGCTCTCGCTCCCCTTGTTTTCACTCGCGGAGATTGTGGAGCGTTGGATATTTAATAGAGTCTCCCATTCATTCTGAAGACGGCTCTGTCCGCCGCTCCGGAACACCGCTATCCCCTTTTAATTCCACGCAGAAAGCGGACGGTTCCAGTGTAAAAATCCGCAGCCCATCTTTTCCAAGCGGCATCCTACCGGGATAACGCTCCTGAATTCCTTCCTTTCCACCTAATGTCACACATCTAAATCAGGCTTCAGTGTAACTAAGTTGCCAGAACTTCAGAAAAAAAAGAGGTCGGTCAGAATGTGTTAATTTATAACTTAAACCAACAGGGATTTCCTTTCAAAAATATATTTGGAAAAATAATTTCAAACGAGGCAGACAAATAGTGCACAAATTGTTTCCGGATACTGAAGAACAGTTATTCAATTTAACTGCTAAATATATTTTTCTTTGAGAA